TCAATGTGTGACAAATAATATATAGTGACATTGGGACATAGATAGATAGATAGATAGATAGATAGATAGATAGATATGAACGAATACGCCAGTAATGGAGAAATAGCGTGCAGGCTAGAGTGCTGGTTGTAGTCTGGGGTTTTACAAGATTGCTTCGTTAATCAATTCGTTTCTGTTGTCAATTCGAGAACCACCGGTTTCCCAAGTACATTGGCCTTTGTACTAGATGTGGATCAGCTTAAGTAAATAACGACAAATTGCCTGCGAATATCACTTTTCAATGGTCTATTACGTTTCTTGGTCACCAACGAAATTAAAAAAGAGAGTGTGGTGTAATTGTTAGTTGGCTGTTAGATTAGTTGATCATTTCTACTGAATAATGATTTCCTTACACACAGGGAGTTCCGTACATGCGGCCTTTAATATTTTAGTTCAGTTTCTTCTTTGAAGACAGTTTTCGTTACACCAGATAGACAACTTACCAGACACAAGAAAGTTTCTATATGACTCCTCTTACAACTTCAACTGTTACTCAGACTAATGTCTAGGGCTGCTTATTTGATACGCTGTCCTTTTATTTAGATGTGGCGTGCAGACGTAGAAGAGTAAGGACATTATTATCATAAATAAATAAAAATAAAATAGTAATAGTAATGAAAAGTATTAATGAAATAAAACATAAAAACATAAAAACGTTGTACAAAATAATTTAAATAAAAATTAAAAAAATAATAAAAATACTCCCAGCATGCACCAAAAATTTTCCTGCCGAGAATACAAACATCACTCCAAACATCAGTCTCTTCACCTCGAACCTTGCTACGGGCAACACGCGTCCAAGTTCTCTGTGATATGGCTTGTAATACTACGGAGTAAATTTTCCCATTTATCGCATGTACCATAAAACAATTATAAATTAAAAAATACACACACCAATAGACAGAAAAGATAAATAAATTGTATGAAATTAACATACAATTCACCATGTTTTTCCTGTTATTTGTGTACGTTTTATTTTCTGTCACGTATGCTTTTATCTTCGTGAACCCGAATCTACTTTCTTCTGCTATAATGTGAAATAAACGCCGACAAATTTTTTTGGTGACGTACAACGTGGAGAGAAAAACAATTCCCCAATGGTAGTAAACTCAAGGATACTTGTGAATATTTAACAATAAACTGCCACATTATGTATCTATGTGAATTTTTAGCATCCCGATACCACTTTCTTATCAATGTTGAATTTTGAACAAATCTGCGCAAAACGTGGATCAAGAGCTTACCCAGCTTCATACAGATTTTCATGAAACATCAGCTTTTAATTGGTCAATAAAACACAAGTTGCCATCCACCCACGTACAAATATTTTTCCAGCGCGTGACCAAGTCAAGTTTTCCCGCTCTTTTTCCCGGGGTCCTATCACGTGGTTACATTAATTATAAATAACAGGCACAAGCTTGTTCATTCTCTTTCTTCTTTTTTCTTTTCTCTTCTACTGAGAAAAAGTAACCTTAAATGATTTCCGTTCTGACCATGTGTGGTCAGACGCCCATGGAAACATATTCACGCATGAACGTACGTACGAAATTTTCCAAACTACATTACAAACATACAAAACATTTCCAAACCAGCAACATGGACTTTTCTCATTGAAATACTTTCTCAGCTTTATAGTTTATTCAACATTTGTGAGCTCAGATAAAAATATTTGAATTTCATCAGTAAAACTTTAATTCAGTCAATATCACCAACAAAATAATAACCTTTACACATGTACATCATTACACAAAAATAAACATAAGTCTTGTTGTTATGAAACCATATTTGCTACTTCTTGTTTTCCATATTTTGTGGTATTTTGTGTTAGATATAAATCGTGACGTCATGTTAGCAAATAGTCTTCAACAAATGGTCTATATATTAGCATAGCTCAACAAACTGTATAATATTTCTAATAACTTAATTATTATACATGCTTAAAAAGTGATTCATAATTTGGCACGTGTCTTAAAGGCTATGTAATGTTTAGCTTTCTTCATGAATTATAAGTTAATTAGCTTTTATTTTAAGTTGGCATCCACATATCGTATTTTAATAATTAAAATATTATAAATAATGTAAAATATAAAACAAATTCTTCAACTTATTAATTAAAAATATTTATTCGAATTAAGTGAAAGATACAATTTCATACTGTCTAATTCGACATTAGATTTTTATAAAAAGTTATTAATCACAGAAACATCAATATCAAGGTATTCAAAATGGCGTCATATTCTTGGAAATATGAGATCTGTCTGAAAATAATGTATTTGGGTGTGCTGTGTGAGCTATGGGCGAAAGAGGGATAAATGGATTCTGTTATCATCTGGCATCATAGCTTGGGAATATAAACTATAATCTAAGCTTTCTGCAACCATTGGATTTTTTCCATATTCGAGAATTGGGGCAGGACAAATGGTGGCTGCTTCATCACGACAATACACCTGCCCACAACGCCATGCGCATCCAGCAGTTCCTGGCCGAGAAGGTGATCGCCGTAACAGAACAACCTCCCTAACGAGCTCATCTGGCTCCGTGTGAGTTTTCTCTTCCAAGTGACTTTCCGGTTTTCCACCAAAAAAAAGGGATCATCAAGTAGACACGCTTTGAAGGCGCGGAAGATATCAAGAGGGCCGTAACGACGGAGCTGAGGGTTATCCAAGAAAAACCCTTCCAGCAGCACACCGAAGCAAGGCAGAGCCGGATATAAAAGGGTATTAGACTCGGGGATGCTGCTCTGACAAGAATACCATTGTAGTTTGTTGTCAGGTATTGAAATAAATTGTTTTTGACACCAGTCACTTTGCTTTTCAAACAGAAATCGTACATCAAATACGTGCTCAAACGTGGATCTATAAATCCTTTCTCAGACAAACACGTACTAGATTCAGGAAATACCGCGTGCAAGGGCAGCTAGTTAAACCTATAACAGGCACCTGCTCAACCCGCAGAGCACACCTGTGGTTTATACTACACTTGTACTGAATGGACGTTGGTTACAATTTGTTGTAACATAGAAAGGGTTACTGAATGAAAGATAACCAAATCGGAGATTGGAAATGAAATGTAATCTTTATAACATCAACATAATACATTACTCACCAGCGGCGTGAAGTAGGTAAACCACTGCTAGTGCTGCACTACATAGACACCATATTACCTCGCTTACAATAGTGTCGAACGTATTTATGAGAATTGGGCCATACCCATTAGGTACGGAATATAACACATACAGATATGAACAGACTGACAGACTGATAGATAGATAGGGAGTTGAACAGATTGCGATAGATAGATAGATAGATAGATAGATAGATAGATAGATAGATATGAACAAAAATACAGACTGTTGTAATCTAGAAATCGTTACTGAATGGGGGATAACTAAAAGTGTAATGTTTATTAAATTAAAAAAAATACTCGCCAGCGGCATGAAGTAGGTAAACCCCTGATAGTTGTGGACTACTTAGACATCATATTACCCCAACTTACAATAGTGTCCAACGCATTTATGAGGATTTAGACATACCCATTAGTGTTCAGATATACTTATATAACACAGAGAGATAGATATGAACAGACAGACAAATAGAGAGATAGATAGACTGATAGATATATATAAACAGACTGACAGACAGACAGATAGCTTGATAGATAGATAGATAGAGAGAGAGAGAGAGAGAGAGAGAGAGAGAGATTAATAGATCGCGACAGATAGATATGAACAGATAGATAGATAGATAGATAGAGAGAGAGAGAGAGAGAGAGAGAGAGATTAACAGATCGCGACAGATAGATATGAACAGATAGATAGATAGATAAATAAATAGATATACAGATATGAACAGACAGACAGAGTGTTTTAACCTAGAAAAGATTACTGAATGAGGAGTAACCAAAAAGGATGTTGGAAATGAAATGGAAATCTTTATAACATCAACAAAATAAGATATTCGCCAGCGGCGTGAAGTAGGTTAACCACTGCTAGCGGTGAACTACTTAGACAGTGTATTACCCACACTTACAATAATGTCCTACGTATTTATGAGAATTGGGACATACCTATTAGTGTTAATAGGCACGTTATATAACACAATTTCTGCGAGAAAGCGGCTAATCAAGCAAAGTAAATTTCTTTGTATAACACGATTACACTCAAATCCTCAGTCATAATTTACTTGTGACTTCATGATGGCACAACAGATCAACATCTTCCGAATGATTCTGTCCAGCCAATTTTATTCACAAGGCTTGTTATGTTTTGCCGCGGTATGTTTTACACTTTCCAAACGGGCCGCCTGCTGGGATCGCCTCCCTTGGTTGATAACACTTCGACGAGGAACGTTCTAATTGAAGGCCCTAGCTAGGCTGAGATTAATTTTGTAAATAATAACAGCAACAAAACGCTGGGAATATTTGCACACAGCTGATATATACCGCGGTTCAGCGAATGCATTCTTTATACCACCATATCACTTTTCTCGCACGGTCACCGAAGTGTGAAAATTCGACCTTGCTAACCGATCGATCCCCTGTGGCGAAGTCGGTAAAAGCAAGTCAGGCTATATAACGGTTCCGTATAGGTTCGAATCCTGTCAGAGGACGAATATTTTCTATGAAAATTTCTCAGAAATTCAGGCCGGTAAATGTTATTTAATACTGTTTATTATAAACAGAACATTTTCTTAAATGTTTGTATCGATAAAAAGAATGTTAAACATAAAAATGTCTTTATATATGTGTGTGTGTATTCAGGCAGAATTCTTTATTTTATACATGTATCATTAAGTGTGACTAATAAGAGTTTTCTAAAGTTATTGCTGTCTTTATTTCATGATACATACATTTCATTATGCACATATATGAAAGATATGAATCCATCTCCTCCTTTTTCAGCTAAGGGTTAAATATTAGGACATGTACCAGGAAAAAAAATCATTGTTATTCTTAACAATGCAATATTCATTCGCAAACAACAAGAATTATCCATGCGATCCAAAATATATTTCGGCTTTAAATAACCTATTTAAAGGTCAATCAACCAATCGGAGTCGAGTATTTGTTAATAAGTTAGTTTAGTGCTAACATTGCTACTATATAGTGAGCCAAAACTTATATTCACATTGTGGATAAAGTCTTATTCCTATTTTCTTACGGCTTTGTTCCATGGCTGAAGAATGAAGCATCCGGAACGTTCTGTTAAGAACATCCAATATGTGAACGTATTCACCATCCAAATAAAATTACGAAATGTTATTGACGTTTCTCAAGCGGAAATTCTTCAAACGAATAAGTTTACTAATAATCTCAAAGAAAGAGAACAGCTTGCAGACTAAAATTGTTCGAGAGATTTTAAATTATAAGAATTATCGAAAGATAAAAGACACCGCGAGACCATGTTTCGTCTACAGATATTTTAAAACAATAATTAAAAACGTGCTTGTTGAGTGGGGAATATCTGATTAATACAATATGTAAATTAAATGACACTAAGAAAAGATTTTTATATCGGTAACGAGAGACCGTATTTTTATTTAAATGATTAATAAATTAGGATTCCGTTTCTATTGACGATAATTATTGGCTAGGAAGTTGCAATTATGTCTCCCATAAATTAAGCGGCAATCTATTCATTAATTCTGATAATGATGTTAATGACATTTTTATTTACATTGTCATTTGAACTGTCCTTAGATGCGTTTTATAGTCCAGCTATAATCACCAATAATGACAAGAAGACGACCAACAATATCAGGTGACATTTGTCATGCAATGAATAACATTATGAAATTGGACGCTAGTCGTTATCATCCCGACATTCAAACAAATAGCATCGCCGTAATATCTATGAGCATCACAACATGAATAACAATATTTATAATAGCGCTATTCTCTCAGGAATGATAAACACTATATGCCAGAGCGTTGGCCATGTGTTTAAAGCGTTGGGCAGAAGTTTTAATGGAAACCAAACAAACAATTTCTTTTTTATTCTCAATCCTTTGTTTTCATGACATCATTTTGAATGCTTTTCTATAGTAAAATCATTCTCAATGCATTTCTACAGTAAAAATATTTACAATGTCATCGAATTATACCTATTATAATAGGAAACTTTAATGGTAACAATGGAATCAGCAGTTTCTTTTTAAGGAAATATTCAGCATTCATTGACCGGACAGTTACCGTTACTGTCGTTTAAAATGAATAAAATCTTTCTCTAAAAACATGTTTTTAAATGAAAATAGGTTCCTCAAGTCCAGTAACTGTTATTGCTCTTTCCACTATTGGTGAGAATTCTTTCTTAAAATTTTGTTTAAAACAGTGAAGAAAGTAAACATTTCAATAATGTCATCATTTTCATTTTGATTTACAAACGCTATCCATTTTTGTTGTTGCTACTGTCGAAAGTCTTCAAGATGATATGTCTTCTGCTATTTGGTACCGTTCTTTGTTGGTGAATCTGTACAAGAAAATTACATGGCTTATTCACTTAAAACCATTTTAATAACTGATATGAGAAAAAAAGTTGTATATGGCTGATAGATTAAATATTCCTAAACGTGTTTTGTTGCCGTACATGTTATCCATATGAAAGCCTTGATCTGATTAGACTTTTTTAAAGAATATAGCTAGTTATGTTTTGTTTTTCGAGTTATGTCAAATATGTTTCTCAAGTCCAGTCACTGTTATTGCTCTTTACACTATTAATGGTAATTTCTCCCATAAAATTTTCTCTAAAATAGTAGAGAAAGTAAACATTTTGGTTATGTCATCATTTTCATTTTGATTTACATGCGCTATCCGATTTAGTTGTTGCTACTTTTGAAAGTCTTAAAGTTGATTTGATTTCTGTTATTTGGTACAGTCTTTTGTTTGTGACTCTGTACAAGACCCGAAGAAGGACACTCCATTAAGGACATAAAGATTCAGTGACTTGAAACCATATTTAATAATTGATATGAAAAAACGATTGTGTATAGCTGAGAGTTTAGATATTTCTAAACGGAACTGTCGCCATGTATGATATCCATATGAAATCTTGATTTGACGAGACTATTTAAGATCATGACCCGAGATGTATCAATGTTTTAGTTTTGTAACATCTTGAAGTTTGGGGCGAAATGCCTAGAGTGCAACCAACTCATTTTGAATACGTTACTTTAATGTGATAATTTCAATTAATTTATGTAATAAAACTATTTAGAATACGTTGTTCATATTAGCAATCTAGTGCTAGAAATTTGTAATTTGCCTGCTGTTCTCTTCATTTTGTTAACAACCATGCAGTCTGTCTTCTTTCTATTGATATTTCCTCCTTTTTTGTCATTCATTACTTTTTTCAGGTGTAGTTTCATTTCTGTGTCTGTTGTCAACACTATGTCCTCTATATATGTTAATGTTCCTTGTTTATAGATGTTTGTTAAGATAATAAAACCATATATATAATTATTGATCGATTTTATCACTGTGATATTTTTGCATCATATTAAGAATATAGTAACTAGGGTCAGCAAATTGGAGGAGAGAGTTATCAATGATAATGTTCTGTCTTCGAATTTCCTGTTATCTCTCTTTAACCCTCATTCTGTTTTCTTTTTTTAATTTTTAAATGTACTTTTTACCATATGTAAATTGGTGATGGCATCCTCGATGTGGTGTAATGGTTAGCAAGCTTGTCTTACTGGAACAATTTCGACTGTGTAGTGACCTGGATCCTCACTGGATGCCCCCTACTTTCGGCCTTGTGTCACATCTAAGCTACGCTTGGAAAATCACTATGTAATTTGGTGAGTCGTGAGCAAATATTCATTCTGAAAATGCGGCTCAGAGAAAAAAAATAGGAACCACTACTCTAGTAGGATCATTTCAATTAATTTCTACAATAAAACTATTTAGAATACGTTGTTCAGTAAGCAAATGGTAGCCATATTTTGTCCTAAATCTGTAATTTCCATATCAGTGACTTCATTTCTTTCGATTGATGTTTAGTCATTTCTTCTCGTGTTCCTTCATTATCTTTTATAAGTGTTCTCGTAGTTTTCTTATTGTGTCTGTTATCAGTACTGTGTCATCCGTATATTTTTGTTCTTAAGACACTGACAGCCAATAATGAATCCTGGTAGGATTTCTAATTCTCTCAGAATCGCCTCAATGATAAGCTGAATTAGTCTGGCGAGAAGACATATCCTTGTCTTACACATTTTTTTTGTATATTTGCTCAGTTCATTTTATATAGGTATGCAGGTGATTTGCTGTCACTATAGTTTCAGGATTATTCTAAAATCCCGCCTAAATATGCAATGTTTAACTAGTAGACTTTATCAGCTACAATCATCACAGCATTAATAAAACTATTTATAATATGGTTATTGTCTCAGAAGTAAAAACTGTTTCTTTGTGATTTTCAATCGTTTATTTTAAAATAATTTTTAATGCTTTGCTTTAGTAAAATCATTCTTAATACATTTTTACAGCAAAACTATTTAAAATGCAATTGAATTAGACCTCTGTTGCGGATGTGAATCAACCCACAACAAATAAAAAAGCGAGAAAAGTTTTTAAATATAAAGATATAAAATATTTTTATTTTCGTGATTTTACAACAGGATTTTTTCTCAGCTTGTGTAAGTGTTTCTTAAAGTTTTTTCTGTTAAATTTCCTTGTTTGTAGTTGTTTGTTAAGATGAAAAGAAATATGATTTCTTCGCGTGTATGTGTGAGAAAGAAGATGCAAGAGAGAAAATGAGGAGGAAAATGCAAGTACCACGTTGTCTAGTAAGGAAGAGTGTACTTGTCATATAGCTTGGTGAGGAAGTTTGTAAGTATCACGTAGTTTGGTGTGGAAGAGTGCAAGTGTTAAGTAGCTCGCTGAGGAAGGCGGATGAATGTGTAATGGAATATCTGTTAAGACGTGGTGTCATGAATATGTTGCAGTATGTTGCAGTTTCTTCTCATTACTGGCTTGTCTGGCCTGATGATTTTACCTATATACTCTTCAAAGGGATCATGAAGCATTTTTTTTTTTATTGTCGACAGGAACGCCGCCCATTGGTTTAAAAATGTTAAATATTTTTTTCAAAGGATTAACCGGAATGATTCACGAATGCTTTTGACATTTGGTGTTTGATTGACTTGGTGTTTATTTCCGTCTTCGTTCCATAGCTATAAGAGTAGGAAATAATTCAGTAGGAAATGTTAATCATAACAGTTAGAATAGCCGTTTTCTTATAAGGAAACATTCAGCATTCATTGGCCGAACACTTAGACAGTAAGTATATGACTAACCCAGCTATATTCTATCTTTGCAAGAGACATATCTAACCGAAAATAGAGTGTTGCTTCCAAATGCGGACTGGAACGCTACCTTGTGGGTGTTGAAATGTTATTCACTTCGCAAACCCTTTCCCAGAGACAAAACGCTGCGAGCTTTATATAGCTGACAGTTTAGATGTTTCTAAACGGTTTAGGCTCGAGTTTTTATGTCAATGTTTTGGTTTAGCAACAACTTGTAGTTTGACGCGAAACTAACTCTAGCGCAGCCAACTGAATTTTGAATATTTTACAATAGTAAAACGTTTCTACAACAAACCTGTTTACCTATAGACTCAAGCATAAATTCGATTATTTCATACTTGTAGACTCAATTCTAAACCCGATCAATTTTTGCCAATAGACTTAGGTATAATCTCAAATATTGTTTACCAATACACAAAAACCTGAACAATTTTTCTGCATAGACTCGAGTATAGAAGCGATCATTTTTTTTACCGATATAAGCAAGTATAAGCTCGAACATATTTACCTGTAGGTTCAATTACAAACTCGCACATTGTTTATATGTAGCCTCAGGCATAAAGTCGATCAATGTTGAGTCTATAGACTAAAATATACTCATGACCATTCTTACCTATATATTCAAGTATATAGTCGACGATTATATATACGGTGCGATAGATAGATTAAATGTCGTCTGAATATCGTAAAAATGAAAAAAGAATAACAGATTTATTATATATTTACCAAAATTGCAAGATATGAAATACTAAAGAGTAAAAATATTTAATAAATTGCCTGGGACTCAGTCACGATCTCCAGACGACTTCAAAATTTTCTGCGTCTCTTCTGGACGGTCTCCTTGTTTAAAATGAGGAATAATGCCATAATCCTTGCCTTTATTTTATCTTTGGAGTTACAATGAATTTCTGTT